TTAAACAATAAGAGCATTAATGTTAAATAAATGTGCTTCTAAAATCAAAGGTTTTTCAGTAGTTTAAATGTATTAATAAATGAAAGATAAGAAATGCTTCTAATAGTATTTTAACTTAAGCTGTATTACTTAGTTTTCAAAAAAATTCATCAAGAAAAAACAATATATGAAATAATGATCACCTTAGGGCAGGGGTCTCAAACTCAAGGCCCGGGGGCCACATCCGGCCCGCGACTTCATTTGATGTCGCCCCGCAAGAGCTTTCAAAGAATGTAATACGTTTATTATACGATTAAATGCCGCTTTACAAAATCAGGTTGCCCATAAACTACATGTCCCACAATGCATCTCGTTTTGTGACATGGCACTGAAGAGACTTGCAATTATTTGCTTTCAGACGTAGTTAATTACTAAGTCATTATCCTATCCGATAATAATCCAATTCAGAGGCAATAATGTAATATAACACATTATTTTATATATATTATATATTTATATATATGTATATTTTATATAGTTACAACTGGCCCTTTGAGTGCAACCATAATGCTGATGTGGCCCGCGATGAAATAGAGTTTGACACCCCTGCCTTAGGGTATAAGGCAGGCTAATATTGATACCTTATTGTTTAGTAAAACAGTAATACGAATGAACCCTGTATCTTACTGTTAAACGTCATTGATGATTGGGGGGCTGTGGCGCAGTGGACTAGTACGTTGGTGTTGGGATCAGGGGAGCACAAGTTCAAACCCCACTGCAGTCAGCGTGTCGTTGTGTCCCTGGGCACTTCACCCCAAATTACTCCTGTGGGGATTGTCCACAGCATTGAGTATGTAAGTCGCTTTGGATAAAAGTGTCAACATGTAATGTAGTGTTTTTTAATAGAATTCCACGCAGTCTTAACCCTTCTCTGGAATAGCAATGGGACACTTTATGAGCAGGGGTCAAAGTTCACATTGGATAGCTTTGTGTACCGTGAGCAAGAACAATGAGTTCTTTAGCAGAATTTGTTCTGCACATGAATACCTCCGAACAGTTAATTGCTACCATGGCAACAGAACAGAGAGGGAAAGTGACATTAAGGGAGCTGTTTGCAGGAAAGCGATCCTTCGCAGTGAAAGTGTGTGTGTAAGTGTGTGTGTGAGCATAGGTCAACATTTTCTCCATATCACCACACAAGCCATTCATTGTTGACAAAAGCACTCTTGTGCTGCAGGATTGGGGAAAGTTACTAATGCTGGCAAGATCAGAATCTTAGTCACATTGCAAGGCGGGGGTGGGCTTTCACATTGGAGTGAGATATGGAGTTGAAGTCATCGTATCTTGTAGTCACTAGGACTTTAAACTGGGGTATCAAATAAAAAAAGAGATTACTATTAGATTACTATCTCTTAAATACCAATGTAAACTATGCTATCAAGTTCAGTTTTTCCAAGTACATGTAGTTAACAGCATAACAAAAAGTAAAGGTTTTTGTTTTTATTGTAGGGCATATTGAAGAATCATGCATGTAAAATTAGAACTGAATAACGTTTTGGATGCAGGACGCCGTTCATTCCTAGAGTTGTTAGGTGACGCATGAAGACAAAATGGGAATAGAATGACCTGCATCAGTCGTTGATCTTCCACATTCATGGGGCTATGAAACAAGCCCACTAGCATTTCCTTTACCACACCTCCTTGCCGCCAAGTCCTTTTTTCTTTGGCGAGTACCAAGCTTGGCTTCAATGGCCAACACTTTTCCTGGGGGCTTGACTAAAGTCTACAGCCGCACTTGCATCTCTCTGAGGCTGCACAGTAGTGCCATGAGTTAAACGCTTTTATCAGTATGCTAATATGCTCCAAGTAACAAAGCTAACACACTGAAGTTTAGCAGGTAGTATTTGCCAGATCTACCAGTTAGGTTTGGTTTTTACGAATGCTAACATTTGCTATTACAACTGTGCCAAATTTCCGGGTAATCCATTAAAAAGTTGTCAAAATATTTCGCCAGAAAAACTGAAACGCGCACTTCAGCAACAAGTGTAACAGATTCTAGAACACAGTTGAAATTAAGAATAAAAACAAGCTCTCAGATAGACGTGAGATAATACAATACATAATTGGAAATACAATGTGAATGTACATTGTGTTTATTGATAGGCCAAAGCAGCCTGGTAGGTGCCTAAGCTCTGTCTGGCTCCTATGTATGGACACCCTGTTTATGCTATAGGTTAGAAGTGATATGTGTTGTCTGTTTATAGGAGCACATGGCCTCCAAGGCACACACTAGTTCCATTAGTAAAAATCAATAAATCACTGAATCCTAAAACACCAGGAAAATGAAAGAGAAAATATTATAGACGATAGTCGGCCGGGATATCCTGAGCGGGCCTCCAAGGGGATTGCATCATCCCAGTGTGCCTGCTGTGATGATGTTATCGGGGACAGCTGCATGGGGTGGAGCCAGGGGTCGAGGCTCTCAGGGAGCCAAGAAGCAGCCAGTTGCCAGCAGATCCCCTTCACTGAGACCCACCTGCTCCGCATGTCCATTTTTCCTCTAAACCCTTCAAAGGGATTCCCTGAGTCCTCTTCTATGTCCACTGGCCCCCGTGTCTTTGAAGTCATGATCCTATGTGTTTTCATGGCATTGAAGTCCTTATCCTATGGTCGTGTTGTGTCATGTGTTTGATCCAAACGTTTGTTTGAAGTTTTACGGAGAACTCTTAAAGTATCCGATGGGCTCATGCCAAACATCTATATAGACCAAGGCAATTATTCACAACTAACGATGATCCAAAACCAATCTCTCCTGAAGTCTATTTATGAATCAGTTTTTCTCACACAACTACACTTTATGGGAAGGGACATTAGCGTCAAAAGTTGGCAGTAGTTGGCGTGCACAGGGCAGTCCTACTAATTTAATTAAAAGCCCTTGAAGAAGAAAAAGCCTAACTTAATACCATCAATTAGGGGTTGCTCTGCCATCTGACTAAAATCCCACACCCCGTTTGTGTGATTCATACAGGAAAATATGCCTCTTTGTCTTTCGAGGTCAACCAACTCTTTGGAGAAGCTGGCTCAGGGTCAGGAAACAGTAGTTGAGGGTGTAGGAGTGGGAACCAAGGCAGTAGGGCCGCGGGGTTGTCCCACTAGATAAGCCATAGCATGAGGTCATTTTGAATGGGAACTCGTGTATTTTCATCTCAGCTTATGGCAACGTCTTTATAGTGCAACAGCTGGTCTTACGAGGAATCTGTATAGGCTATACGAAGAAAATGCTTGTCAATTTCATATAGATGGAAAAGCTTTTCTAAAATGTCTGTTATACCTTTGATTTTGTGCCCACTGTCATTCTCTTAAAGGGTTTTCCAATACTACTTTTTTGTGTTTTAACTTATGATGTCAAGTAGTTGGATTCTGCCTTTTTTGAGGGAGGGCAACGAAAAATATTTTTACAAGACATTTATATCAGTTTGGAAAATAAGAGACAATGCTCCAAGCAAGGTAGCTGGCATGAATCTGTAACCTGTGAAAGAGGGTTTCATTTACAAGGTCAAAGCAGTCATTTCTTCACACCTGTGGGAACATTTAGAGGTCAGTTACGCAATAAAGGTCTCTATCCAACTTAATCTTTCTATTAGATCTAATTGTGCTCTTATAGAAGCATTAGGCTTGACAGGACACTCAGACCGTATGTCCTCTGTCTGAAGTAAAGCAGTCTCTTAGACAAGTACGTATGAATCACTGATTCAAGGCCCTGTCAGATCTAAGAATTGATGGCAATTTGGCAGTTGAGTTCTGTGAAACTGGACGCATCAGCACACTGTCAATCATCCATGTCACAGTTCAGGAATCAAAGAAATTGCATGAACTATCGTGCTTTATCAGAACCTTATGCGAACTGCTCTGCAGCATCTTATATAAACTTACGACAGTGATGGCAGATACAGGCTTTGTTTTAGAGTGGCAGGGTGCACCCTGAAGTCAGATCTCTGCAGCGTTTCTCCAACAGAGCTCACCATGGAGACTAAAACGCTTTTTGGCTCAGGTTGAGCGTTGATGTACATATGTCATTATTAGCGATGTTTCATCATTTTGTAGTTAAATGGAAACGGCATGTGTGTTAGATTAGGTGGGCCAAGCATGCTTGGGCATCATTTAATAAAGTCCTCTGTCAATTTCAAGAAAAGTATTTATTTTCTTCAATGCTTCTATTCCATTTGACTTCATTTATAAAAATCTTTGCTTTATAAGTCTTGTGTGTTTTTTGTACACCACATACTCTTATGTGCACTGGGAGATGTTCCCCTATAAGCTTTGATAGAGAATATTATTGCATTTTGATTAGTCCCCACTGTTACCACAGCAATATTGCAACGCTGTGTCTCATCAAATGTTTCCCGGGCTGAAATGGAAGAAACATTACATTTCCTGATTTTAATTTTGAATGAAAAGTTGAACAGGGACATTGGCAGCCCAATAGAGGAGATTAAAATATGTATGACTTCACATTTTTTATTTCTGGAGAAAATTAGGCAGGAAGTATGCGGCTTTCCCTGAAGCCTAATGTTTCCTCTGGGAACTGCAGCATTGTTACTGTTGATCAACTTACATTTCCACTGTGAACTGTGATATCTGCAAAAATGAGTTTAGTTTTAGGCATACAGTAGGATACCCCATTTTACTGGGATATTTGTGATCTCCAGCAACATTTAACCCTGACTGAACACTTAACATTTTTGGCAAAGATAACTACTTTAGTTCTGTAGATGATACACCCACAGTATCGAATTGATCACATTTCAACTCCTCTGTGTGTATTTAGCAATTGTTCATACTGAGAGCTGAGAAAAAAAGGCCAGTGATGTTAAATGCTTCTAAACTCCTGTGCTTGAATATAAAATATATAAGAAGGGAATATGCTGCAAGACAGAAGGTTTCTTGAAGCAATGGTTCATGTTTTCAAAACCAATCCATGTGTTCTAATTCCGATCCATTTATTTTTTGTTTTCCCAAAGGTCAGAGTCAGGGATCTCCAAATTGACCAATCGTCTGTCCCTCAAAGACCGTGTTGCCAAAGCAGAGAAGACTTCCACGAACCGACCTCCATCCTACAGGAGACGATCTCTCAGTCTGGACTGGTAAGACCAAAGATCTTCCCTCAATCTATCTAATCATGCTGTTTCAGGAATACATCTTGTGACAGTTTATTCAGGGGTGTCAAACTAATTGTAGTTCAGGGGCAACATACAGTACAGCCAACTTTGATCTCAAGTGGGCCAAGCCAGTAAAACCATAGCATTATGATTTTACTTATAACCTATAAGAAACGACAATGCCAAATTGTTCCCTTTGTGTTATTGCAAAAAAAGTTATTTCTGAGCAAAATCTTTTTACAAATGTTATCATTTTACATTCATTTCTACATCTGTGTTGCAATCCTGACCATCTGAACTGACACACCACCATACTAACTAAAACTAAAAGAAGAAAGTACTCCCCTTGCATTGTAAATGTTATTCATTTATACATACATAACATTTGTGAAAATTGCAGCTATCGTCTTCTCTGTATTTTTTTACATTTTGCAAAGTCACCTCTCGGACGGATTGGACCCTCTGGCTTCCGTATGTTTGACATCCCTGGTTTATTTTGAAACTATGTTAGATCTGAAACCAATGTACATGGCTATACGGTTCCCATTTGGGGTTGTACAGATGAAAATGAATTATGACTTTATAGACTGGTAACAGAAGCAGGAATTTGAGTAGAATCTGTCACTTATCACGACTGAAATACACAAAAATTCACAAGAGAGAGACACCATGCGGATTGCTGCTGTGTGGGGTTGGAGCAGAGAGTGGGCGTAGTGGTGATAGGGTCCTGCTCCGTCTCTGTGTCTGGGTTTCGTTGAACAGCGCCAAGCATCTCCAGTGGCGCCGGCTCATCTTGCTCTTGTAAAGCTCCAGTCCTCAGGCAGCCGATGAAAGGAGTTTGAAAGCTTTCCATCACGAGGCTGCCTTCCCGTCCCCACCCATGGGACTCCTTCCCAGTCTCCCCTCTTGTTGCTTAGGCCTCCACTCATTTATCAACCCATCCATCCTGCCGTCTGTCCAACTGGCTTCCCCCCTGAGCTTCCTGCTATGTATTCTTGGCTCTTCCTTTACACTTCTCTCATCATTGGGAAAATAGTCCCAGTTAAAGCGGATCTCACACTTCCTTTGCACCTCATTTTGTCAAGTAAAAAACGTCCGAACAGTCACGAGTCTAGACGGTTTCCAGGTTTGTAATTGCTGTGCCGGGACTACAGTAGCTATTCAGTGGAGTCACTTTGCAGTTTGTGGAGCTACAGGTGTGGGACTCTCTGAGGTCCTATCCAGTCATGCTAGGGGCCGCTGTGAGGTCTTACGAGGTCTTTTGTCGGCCTTACGAGACCTACTGTGTGGTCTCGGACCGGCATGCGTTGTGTGGTCCACCGGCGCAATGTGGTGTTAAGTGAATGAGCGTTGGAGTGCATTTGCAGTGTGAGGTCCTTCACTTTAACAGCTTCGTGTTTTCCTCCCATGTTGCTGGAGAGGGGGACCTGGCCTTTAAAGTTCAGGTCCTGATTGATGTAGTCTGGTTTTAATGAAAAGCAGTGGGTAGATTGGACATGCTCATTTACGAGAGGGATGAGGGGGGCTCGGCTACAGCTGGATTCAGACTTTCTCCAGGGCGAGCCGCCGTTACAGGAGTGTGACTGGTCTTTTGTGACATAATAAACAAGGGACCCCAGGAGGAGAGATTCGAGGTTGTGGGCTGAGTCATGATACTGGGAGGTGAAACGAGGTCGGTCCGGCTCCTGAAAAGACCAGCGCGGCTTCTCTGGAATGCACAGTCATCAACGCTGTCAAAAGGAAAACACGTGTGTTAACAGCAGCCACCGAAAACACCCCATGAATCAGTTGCATATTTGGAATTTGTAGACATTTATTGAACTTCCTGTAGTCAGTCTAAACAGTTTGTCTTTTTGTTTTTGCTAACAAGTATTTGTAACGAAAGTGCTATATTTTTCTAGGTTGTGTTAGCCAAGACATTCCTTCGACATTGTCTAAATATTTTCAGTTTTAAGTATTGTAAGTACCATGTTTGGACATTCAGGCATTTTCCTGATGTTTTAGCTTTCTGCTTTGGTATCGTTTTAGTATTGGTTTCAAGGTATTTAGACGTGTATTCATATCAAAGTCATACTTTTAATATTCTGACGGCAATATATATGATATGCTTAGCTATAAGTATAGTTAAAATAAAACTCAAATGTGGTACTGCAATTGTTGCTTAAGTGAATCTTTTGTGTTTTCAGACTGTAAAATAGCTAAAATATCTAAATGTAGTTGTCTACACCCTTAAACCAAGATTGCATTATGTTTATCCGCCTACTGCCCCCCTTCTTTGACTCTTTACATCTTTTTACAGTAAGTCACACAAGCCGTATTTGAAATACCACGCTGGAACCCTACCAGCAGCCGGCTGCAGTAAAGCAGTCTCAGGTGACCTAACACTTTACTATCTATTTAGTGGACCATTGCCGTTTATGTCGATTCAAGTCGGATACCCAAACAAACTTAGACTATTAAGGGAATTCTCAGCCAAGGCTGTCCATATACAAGCCTGAAACAGGAGCCGCTTTGTAGCTTTATCAACGTTTGCGAGAGCTGGCAGGGGCTTGGGAAAATGTGATAATAAAAGATAATGGGAGTGTTATTGTTATTGGTAATCATAGTAAAAGGCCTCTAGGGTATGGTTGGAAAACAGAGTAGAGTCAGGGAGTCAGAGGGAGTTGTAAAGTGGAAACAAGAGGTTTGAATTCCTGAAAAAAAGTTATTGATATGTTTTTTTCTTTGCGGGAAACTATTAGACGTAATAATTACAATCTACACCCATGACGTCCTACGGTAGACAAATTGGTTCTTTGGAGATTTCTATTCGATAATTCCTAATAAAAAGCAAATTTTCTCTAAAAGCCATTTGATAACTAACCTTATTTTACCGCACTTTCTGCTAAAGCTGCATATGGCTCAGGGAATTGTTTGCATGATGAGAACATTAAGTTCAATATCCAAACAAATACATTCAGCCAAACATAAAATCATGCTGCCTTGTTTCCTGACACGGACACAGGAGACATCCAGTAGAGTCTGATAGTCAACACTGGGGCTATAAAGGGATGCTGGTTCTGTTCCAGCACAGGTCCAGTAAATAAGTCTTTTATTTCCAGATCCTCTCATGGTGACAGTTTGAGCCCTATGCCAAAACCCAGGAGTACAATGGAGAGGCAGCCATGTATGTCGGCCAAGCACTTTTGTATTTCTCATAACATTTCCCCCGCAGTATGCCTGGAGAGGAAACTCTATACCTAAGTACTTAAACATCAACGTGTGCTGTAGCAATCGGCGATCAAACCTTATCCACTTCATAAATACAAGTGGAAATGTGAAGTTGGTACCACAGCAGTTTGATCGTGATGTGTGTGGCTGTGCAGTATGGGTCCCCTGAAGGCCCCTCAGCTCTGCCTGGTGCCACCGTGTCTTCAGGGATAACTCAGCGCTGACAGCACTCTTATGATCAAGTCCTAATATCAATGCCAGGAGATAAACCAGTGACCCATTCCAGTAGTCAATATAGAAACACACACCCAAACACTGAGGTGGAAGAAGTACTCAGATCTTATACTAAAGTAAAGTAGAAATACCAGAGTGTAGGAATACTCTGTTACAAGTAAAAGTCCTGCATTCAAAATGTTACTCAAGTAAAAGTAGAAAAGTGTTGGCATCTACATGTACTTAAAGTACCAAAAGTAAAAGTGCAGATGCAGATTGGTCCATTTCAGAATCACGTATCATATTTTGTCATTAAAATCTTTGATGTTTTAATGTGTGTAAAGCTGGAACACATTTTAATTATTTTATTTAGTACATGGTAACATGTGAAGTTAATCCTTGAGTAAATGTACTTAGTTACTTTACACCAAACATACACACACACTCGTGGTAGAAACTCATGTCTGATGTTCTCCTTGATATTCATGCTCACACACATACACGAGCAAACACACATTGTAATAGTTATGTTGGGTATGTAAAGGGGGAATGGGGGTTACCAAGTGCTAATCCTTGTGAATTCCGCACGAAGGGAATAAAAAAAAGAACATAGAGAAATCTCCAAAGTCTTGGAGGAAAAAAGAGGGCAATGCTCAAGGGGCCCGGGTGTAAAGTGGTTTTGGACAGTGTGCCACTCGCCTCATTTGGTTCTAATTTAATTTAATATTCCCCACTCTTTTTCATCCTTTTCTTTAGATTTTTTCTCCTTTCTTCTGTGGCTGCGAGCTGTCAGTTCAAACAAAAGGGACAAATGAGGAGGCTATAGATCCCTATCATTTTTCTTTTTAGAAATTTCTACTCAGATCATACGGTTAAAGATCCCGACAGAAGTGAAATGATCCATGCTGGTGTTTGAATGTCTAACAATTTACTTCTGCTTTCTGGCTGCATTATAAAAACATTATTCAGAGAATGTGTTAAACACTAAAAAGCTTTGGCACCCATGATGGTGTAAAACACTACTTGAGTTACTTCTACTTCAAGATGATATATAAACTGGAGGCAATATTGGGCTAGAAAGTCTACGTTTTTTTTTACAGTTTTATTGAAAGTACACTGACATGGCATAGTTATATACACACATCATATATACTGTAGGTAGCGTAGATATGTTGTCAGTGTGCAGGTTTTACGTCATGGAAAATATGCACCATTGTTTTGTGGCCTTAGCTTCAGTCCATAGACTATGGGCCGAAAAGACGACTAAAATGTAAACATTGAACATCTGCAATCCTATTATTACTTAGCAAACTGCTGATGAAGTACATGTAATATGACCAAAAGCATCAGTGCTACATGTTTAAAAAAAGATGACTTCAGAACAAATCTGGTTATTAACGCTAATTGAGCTGTCCTGTTAACTTTGGATTCAAACTGCTCCTTCACCTTTGATGTTCATTTTCTGAGACTGAGATGTTTGCAAGATATGGCAATATATATTCTAGTATACATGATAATAAGCCCTGGACTATAATTTGTTCTCGCAAACAATCACAAATACA